TAGGTTTTATTAAATATTTTATTTAATGCATCAGCTAGTAATCTATATATATATATAAAGAGGAGCAACATAACATTTAATTATATTATCATGCATTAAATTTTATTATCCCTCCAAAATTTTCAACATTCAATTTCATTTTCAAGTTACAAAATAACTTGATTGAATGCCATAGCATAAACCAATCAAGGGAGTTACAAAATTATACTCAAATTTTAAGTCACACCCACTCATAAAAATGACCGGATGTATTAGCATAAGAAAAATGGTTGTAACGGCTCTTCCATAGCAATTACTTTATCAAAATCAATTTTGGGAATTATTTTCTTAATTCATATTTTTTCATGAATTAAATTATGATTTTTTTTTATATTGGTATCTTTTTAAAGTATTANTAATTATTTACGAAATTGTCACCCCGTGTTTGACTATTATATTTAAATTTTGACTAGATCATGACCATTGATATATTGGATTCAATGATACATATTTATTTTTATTCTTCTTTTTTTTTCCAAAACGATAGAGGTAACTATTATAAAGCGAGCAGAGCTCGAAAACAATATCCAGAATCCACAACATAAACATGAGAGGAACATCACAATGATGCCCTAGAGCCTCGGCAATAACAACAGCATACCAAAACAAAATCAACTAAGAGATGACCACTGCCACAAGGCCTAGCCAACTACAAGAACAATAAAAGAAAAAGAAGAATCAAAAGACTACTAAGCTAAGAAGAAGCTGCAGAGGATGAGGATAGGAAGTCCATCCAGTCCTGTTGAGCTGCTTTGATTGTAATGTGTGGTGGTGGGATGGAGCCTTGAAAAATCCATTGGTTCCTGGTTTTCCAGAGCCACCATAGCAGGTAAGTTGTTAGTTCGATTCTGTGCTCTCCTACTTCAGAGTGTTTGGTCAAGCAGATGTGTTGCCACCATGTTCTGAAGGATTCAGTGTATGTAGACAATCCATGCCATGTGACAGGGGCCAAGTGCCAAACACTTTGTGCTCCGGAACAGTTCAGGAGTATGTGCTCAAGAGTTTCAGGCATATTCCCACACAGTTTGCAGATTACATCAATATCCATACCTCTCCTCTTTAGATTGGTGAGAACAGGCAGTGAATTAGATAAGCATTTCCACAAGAATGTTTTGAGTTTCATTTGGACTTTGATAGACCAGCTTCTCTCTAGTGTTTTCTGCCAAGGTTTGGAGCTGTCACTGCATTCAGGTATATCTAGAAGCAGAACTTTATGTTGCACTAGGTGAGAGTAAGTAGAGGCCACTGAGAACTTCCCTTTTGTGTCCAGTCCCCAATATATTCTGTCCTCTTTGTCAGGCTTGAGTGTGTTGATGCTCAGAATAGCAGCACTGTCTTCTTGGTTGAAAACCTGTTGCACCAACCATTCATTCCAGCCTAGACCAGACGGTAAAATGAGATCCTGAACAAAAATGAGGTGATCTCTGGCTAATTCGAGCATTTCAGGATTTTTCCTCAAATTAGGAATCCAGTTATAATCAGCAATTCGAGTGTTAGCTCCATTTCTAATCTCCACTTTCAGCCATTTAGAGAATAAAGGAAGAGTATCTAACCAACTATTCCATAGCCAAGATCCCTTCTGAGTTTAGCAGCATTGAATATGGAAGAGTTAGGAAAATACCTTTCCTTTAGAACTTTGCTCACTAGTAAGTCAGGTTGAGATGTTATTCTCCAGAGTTGCTTGCATATCAGGGCTGCATTGAACAATTTCAGGTCAAGAAACCCCAATCCTCCATTCTGTTTGGGTACAGTGACCTTGGACCAGCTTCTCCAATGTATCCCTTTGTTTTCATTAGAAGCATTTTCCCACAGAAACTGAGCACATAAGGATGACAAAGCTGAACAAGTAGCAACAGGCAACTTAAAGCATGACATAGTAAAGATAGGTAAGGCCTGCAAAACAGATTTGATCAGAACAACTTTGCCAGCAGAAGATAGAAGTTTAGACTTCCAATTCTGAAGTTTACTTTGGGTGGATTCTACCATATAATCGAAGACTTCCTTCTTAGACTTGCCAATGCCTAGAGGCAGACCCAAGTATTTTGTGGATCTGTGAATTTGGATGCCTTGCAAAGTTGCACAAATGATCTCCTTCAGAGGTGAAGGTGTATTTCTACTGAAGAAAATGACAGATTTTTGCATATTCACAGATTGACCAGTAAAAAGCTTGTACTTGTTAGAAAAATTTATATTGTGCAAAATTGCATAAAAATGTGTATTTAAAATTAGTACACATCCCGTCCGTTGCACAATTATAAAAAAATTAAATAAAATAATAATTCAACTTGCACAATTTTCATACCAAAAAAACAAAACCAACGATATCAAAAAATCTTTACCAACAAAACTCTGGATTTTTCATACAAAAAATATTCATTTCATACCAATAATTGAATTATTAATTCCCTAGTAAGCAACTTTTTTATTTTTCATTTTTGCGTGAAGCAGTTACTAATTTTAAAATAACCAAACATGTTTACATAAAATATGGAATCAATATATAATACACTTTACCTATATTAATTTGTTTAAAATTTTATATGAAATTTAAATTGTGCAAAATGTCTATTTAAAATTAGTACACGACCCGTACGGTGTAAATAACTTATAATAAGTTACATTATATTCATTTCAAAATAGGTATGATCTTCATTTGCTTTATTCAATTCAGAAAATCGATTTGACTACAATGTGATTTAAGTAAAAATTAATTCCCTTTGTACACACACACACACCAGATTTGTTTTCCTTAATATCGAGTAAAATGCTTATAAATATGAAAAAAAAATATGGAGATACAATTTATTACCATAAGCGGATATATTGGATCAATATATAATATACCACATAATTCGATTTCGTACTTTATTGATAAAATAGAAAAAATGATATTAAGTTTAACCACGAAATTAATTTCACAACGCACAACACATTTATTATACATAAAAAAAATACCAAAAAAATAGTTATTAAAATTCAATTAAATATAAAGTACCAATGACACAATTATTATTTTAGAATAGTTTTATAAGAAACTATAATTAAATAAACCAACCGAATTTACATGATCTGCGTAATTAGGGTATCTTAAAAATGTAAATTTTTACGGCCAAATTATTTCCTTAATTATCCATAATTTGAGCAATTAAATACACAAAAAATGAATAACATTTATTAAATAATATTTAAGTAAAAATTGTCATTAGCACAATTTTTGACGAACAGTTTTTTATAAACTGCATAATTAATTATTGTTGTAGATATTTTTTATAAACTGCATAATTAATTAAATTGTTTTGGAGGAAAATAGTTACTATAAAAAATAATTAAACATTTATATATATATATATATATATATATTAATGATGAACTGCTTTTGTTACCATAGAATGTGCACACAATTTTGAATGTACATCCCGTCCAAATATCAGTTTTATTTTAAAATAAAAATTGCACTTGGCTTTATCCAATTTACACAATTTTTTTGAAAGAAAAAATTATTCAATAAGATTGAAAGAATTGGTTAAGAATTATACAACTATTTGCTTCCTAAATTTATATCCAATTTGAACAGATTTTAAATTAATTTTTATTTAGAATTATTTTCATAAATAATTGACACATTTTTTGCATAAGAATATCCATATTTGTTACCAAAAAAGATATGATTTAAATTTTGGTAAAAAAATAAAATATGATACGAAAAAAATGGGATTAAAATTTTGCCATAAGAATCTCCAAATTTGTTACCAAAAAAATAGGATTTAGATTTTGTTATTAAAGATTCACATGTGTTTTTTTGAACTTTCCATTAATAGTGAGTCAAACATTATATTTAATTGGTCAAGCTTTCTATTAATGTATTTTTCCAACAACCTCTTTATATATAGATAGATATAGATATAGATATAGATTGGATGAGTAAAATAATTGACGAGTTGTTCAAGTTTGTAAAATTGAAAGGTGTTTCTCGGTTAATGACAAAATAATTTATGACCGACTCATCTTCCAAAATTGCAATGATGGCTTTGCACCGTGTATTAATGTATGGAGTGGAGGAGTTGGTTTTGTACAAAGATTTATTAGGGTTTGAATATTGTAATGGTATAGGTGTGTGTGTAAAAAAAGTGAATTTTACAAAAGAAAAAAATGGGTATGAAAATCTTTGGAAAATCTAATTGCTTTTAAAAAGGTCTGATGGATCATGATATTAATTGTCAAAAATTTTGGTTATTTTCGAGATGTAATCATTATTTCTCAGTCATTGTTTAAAAAAAAAAATCATCAAACTAGTGAACATTATTATTCGAACAAATTAAATCAAATAATATTGGGATCTTTATTTTAATGTAACAAAATTAATTGGAAGAGTCCATATATGAAATTAACGAATTTAAGAGCCATAAGTTTTTTTTCAACTTGTGAACAAATTAACGTTTTTTTTTTCAACTTGGTTAATCAAACATATTTGGTATCTTTTTTATGTAACAAAATTAATTGGAAGAGTCCATATATGAATGGGGATTGTTTCCCAAATTTTTGTTATAATTCCCTCCATTTACGTAAAATGTTAAATTCACCAAAAAATAAACAATCATCAAGTTGTGAAAGGCCAGAATAAGAACTAAAATTAGCATTTGCAATAAACATTAGTCATGAGGGTGGTTACATTTTAATCAAGTTTACCTAATTACAAACCATCTCAAAAAAAGCCATAATTAATTAACGTAACCCCTAACATGAAATTGATAATAACCGTCTGCCAAAATGAACAACGCACATTTCGATGAGGAAAAAAAAACACATAGACTACATAACCAGAAGAACCCCACAACATGATCCACCTCCTACCAAGTCATTTCAAACACCAGATGAAGATTCAGCATCACTCGGAACATCAAAAGTCGCCTGAATAGCATCGTTGAAACAAATTTTAGCCGCTTCTCTCATTTCAAATACCACCATGCATTCGTCGTGCCATTTGAAGCCAGTTGTTCGGAGAAATCGTTCGATAGGATTTTCTTTTATTTATGTTAGCAAACATTAAAACAGAGATTCATATAATCAATATATTTGAATGATTAGATTAACTGTTCATAAATAGGTAATGTAAAATATATGAATAATTCACCTCGGGCCACACGTATAACCAATAGAATTTGTTCACCCTAACCTCGCCACTTTCCGAATGGATTTTTGAGTGCGTTCTCTGCAGAAACTTCCTGAAAAGGTTGTAGTGGTTCCGTAGCCGCTGTATTTGTTCTCTAACAGCCCGGTTTTCAACAGATCTACCCAATAATTGTGACAGATCTCGCGCCAGTGGAGTCCATATTGAGTTGAAACACCGAGGGCCTGTGAATTTCGTTCAATGCGAGAGCCTTTTCAAAGAAGAGTTTGTAACACACCAACACGTCCTGCTCGCTCCATCCTGGTACACGAAATACTGCCGCCATTTGTTGTACATCGTCGTTGTTCGTCATGGCTGTATTAAAGCTACAAAATAATTGAATCAAAATTATTTGACAATTTTTTAAAAAAAAATGAGAAGATAAAAAAATAAACGGCTGTGCAGTACCTCTTTTCAAATAGGGTTTCCCAACTTCAAAATCGATTTCAGATTTAGTCCCTTTTAAATGCTTGTGTCAAAGGAAATTAAAAAAAAAAAGGTCCCTTTAATAAAACCGAGTTGAACACGCAACCACCATCCTGATAATAATTAAATTTGGACAGTTGTGATACAAAATGACAGACTTGATTTATTTTCTCACAAAGGACAGACGTGATAAAGTGTGTAATTTCACAACTTTTTGTTAATTAAATTTTTTTGGTCTGAGTGAATGTAATTACATATATACAGATATATATATATATATATATATATAGATTGATTTTTGATACCTAATCGATATCAAAACATACTCATCTTATAAAAGAACATCTATATTATATAATTTTACATGTTCATTTTACAATAAAACATATTCACCATGTTAAGAAACATATTACGTACAAAATCTACTTATTCACCTGGTACAAATTCAACATATTCATCGTGTAAATAAACATATTCATCGTGCCAAAAAATATTTGCCTTTATTTATCTGGATAATCGGTGCCTAATCGAAATCACTGTGATGTTCAAACACGAAGGAATTGAAATTGAGACTAATTTATTTATTTCATAAAAAAAAGACTAATTTATTTATTTCATAAAAAAAAGACTAATTTATTTATTTGTTCCACATCATTTCCACATCATCTTTCCACTAAATCTCTCTCCATTTAAACACACACCCACATTCCTACACATTCATTTAAATACATATGTGGGACCCATTAGTCACTCATTCAATATAATTTTTTATATTCTATTCTCAATAAAAAGAAATTTTAATATTTTTAAATTATAATAAAAATTTTAAATGCATGAAAATGAAAGAACATTACAAGACCAAAATAGCTTAAATTAAGATTACACGAGTAAAAAATAGTACAGTTAAAAAAATATTTTTTTTAGTTGGCAAAATGAGTCCAAATATAAAATTTTGTATTTTGTTTAGAAAATATAAATTATTGATACATATTGGGAAGTATGATATAGATAAAATTTGTATTTATCAAGTGTGATGTAAGTAAAAAATGAATTAATATAAAAAAGGAAAATAAAATGATTAAACAATTAAGTTAAAACTTAAAACAAACAAAAAACAAAAATTAAAGAACAACGTTCAATAGGATGAACACAATTGAGGGCCCCGCAGCTATAATGAACGGCCACATCCCGTTGAACGCACAAGTGGCGTTTAAACTTTAAACACCCAAATTAACTTCAGCGATGCAGATGACGCAATCAAAATAAACAACCGCCTCTTCTCTTCCCATCATCCGAATCGTCACGTCTAATCAACTTAGGCATCTTTTTAGAGCATCTTTACAGTCATCACAACGCCTCTTCAAAGTCTTCACATCATTATAAATTCCCCCATTAACATAGGAAAAAATACAATCTACATCTTCTCTCCTCTTATAAAAATACAAAAATAAAAAAAAAACCTTAATAAAAAATGTTTTCTGCAAAGCCAAAAAACATAATGGACCACTTCCAATTGGTGAGACAGCAAATGAGCAAATATCGTTGTGATGACTTGTTGGAGGATGCATTTTGCCGCATACTCAGACGATTTGTTGTTTTCCAGGGCATAAAGGACGAGATTGACGTGTGGTTTTTTTTTAATCGGATACACCGGAGTTTTGTTGAGGAGACAAGGGCCTGGTTTACGAAGGATGATAGTTATCGATTGTACTACGTGCTCAAGGAGAGGTACCAAACCTTCAAGTGGTTGTTGGAGCAACCAGGTGCAGATCACAACAGTTTTGCCGGTACTGTTCATGTACCAACTCTTGCTAAGGAAGTGGCGCTTAAGGTAAATTGTTGAAGAATTAAATCCTTGCATAATTAAGTAGTTCATGTTTTGTGTATGTTTTGCCGGTAAAATTGTTTATCTTTTGTGTATGCGAAGCATTGGGCACTTGCAGAGTACGTGGTTGATAAACTGGAACCAAAGTGGGACGTGTTGAAGGCAATTTTCGAACCCATGGGACACTTGGAGGATTACCCTGGTGAACAGAATCCGAAGACGAACAGTGACTTCCCAGAACTTTGCCGTCTCTATGAGTTTTACTTGGAAGAGTTGAGGAAGCCGTTGCTGCCGTGGGACTACGTAGATGACGAGTGACTGTAGAAGAAAGTTGCGGTGGTTTTGTTTAAGAATAATATTATGGTTGTATGTTTTTTTTATGGNAATTCTTTTATTCTTGTGTAAATCAATCATTCTTTGCCGTAGGTCCTTGATTTTGTTGCAATACATGTATTATTGAATCGGAACACAGAAGATAGAAAAAAAGGGGACTGGGTTTTACCAGCATTTTTTAGCGTGAAACATTTAAATTTAAAATTGTAATCTTTTGAATATTTCATGTTTCGTAAGTTGTTTTGTATGAATATTTATGTTTAATGCAGGCCATGGCTGTGTCCTCTTTCAGCAACTCAACGATTCAATCGATGTGCTTTCGAGATAAAATATTCACCGGTCGTGCGGACGAATGTTCTAGTATATTGCTGCCTATAACGGATAATAATATGCATTGGTACATGTGCATTGTTGATATTAGAAATTCCTTCATACGACTATGCGATACATTACGTTCAGGGAATTCAAATGGGAGGAGGATTGCACTCGCGCGGAAAGTGGTATTATCGTTTTGTTCAACATGCTGAAATTGTAACGCCCATATGATATATTGTAGATAAATTTTTGTAAATTTATATTTGAAATGTTTTATTATCATTACCAGATCGAGCGACTGGAGCAGATTGTATCTTCCTGGGATGGTGATGGTTTCGTGGAGAAGAATATTGCAACGCGGTACCATTGGGTTATCGACCAACATATTCCACGACAACCAAATACGTACGGAAACAACGAAATATCATGCTAAATTGTCAGTTAGGTTCGAATTGTTAATTATATTTATGTATATTTCTTCTAACTTATAAAGGATTGTTCTCTAGGTGCGATTGCGGTCTCTACGTGTGTCTTCAGATGTTTTGTCGTTCCTCTCCCTCAACAACTATTACTTTACGTGCACTCACAGAGGTAATGACCCGCCAGCAGTTAAATTTTTTTTTTTTTTTTTAAATTTTTTTTTTTTTTTTTTTCCGATTAAAACCTAAAATACTTACAATGTTTTGTGCAAACAGGACGAGGCAGAGGAAGCAAGAAGAAGGTTGGCTGTCACGCTTTACAAATCTTCATTCAACCAAATAGAAATACGGTAAGTACATAATTTTTGCAATTATGTGAACATATAACTGTATAATTTTTAAAAATTTATACAGGTGAACATTATTATTAAATACGGTATACTGACATATTTCAATGTTGTATAGAAAAAAAGAGATTTGGTTCTACGTTAGCAGAGTGAATGGGACCGTTGAACAATCCAATGGTAAGACATACGACCCGAGTAAAATAAATTTTGATACCCTTTCCGATCTTGTGGAGTGTGCCGGCGAACCACCGTGCGAAGATTCGGGGCCTTGATACTTTGGCCGTGCAGCTGGTGATTCCACAAAATCGTATGAGATTCCAATTACAACAACTGAAGAATTACGCAAATATGTATCGAGTTACATCGATGATGGTCGGTCTGGAATTGATATCCAAATTCATTGGTTTGATCCATTCGGAGGAGATAATGGCACAGCCGGCCCCTAGTTGGTAGCCCATCCATATTGCTTTAATTCTTGATTGCATGTTTTGTAAGCCCTCCTTCTGTGAACTCAAAATCCAACATTGCAGTTGCATCCTTCACATATTCTTTCCCAGCCCTCTAGAAACTATGGTCCATTGAGTTTAAGAGATAATGCGAGGTGTTATTTTTTTCATCACATATGGATTCTTACAATAAATATTGAATCGTGTGAATTGCAAAAGATGTTGCTTCTTGATCCAGAAGCAAGGTAGTGTTCTTGTTGCTTCATTTGATGATTAATTTTATTTTTCCACATTTAAACCAGAAAATATATTAGCTAAGATTGTTTTACATCAACGAGACCTAAATAGGTCTGGGTCTGCAAAGGCAAAAAAAAAAAAAAAGAACAACAGCCAAGTTGTTTCCTTGCATAGCCTAGCCAGATAGGGCTAAAGAAGCAAAAACACAAATATCCTTATGAAAAATAAAACTACAAGAATAAACAGAAGAGCACAAAGACTTCAATTTTTTAACTTAATTATTTAACGACAAAGTTCATATTGAGCTGATAACAAAACATACTCATCTTATAAAATAACATCTTCATTATATAATTTTACATGTTCATTTTACAAACAAACGTATTCATTGTGTTAAAAAATTTATTACGTACAAAATCTACTTATTCACCTTGTACAAACTCAACATATTCATCGTGTTAATAAACATGTTCATCTAAGAAAGAAATATATTCATCTTAAAATTTAACATATTTTGCATATAATACAACATATTCATCTTATAACATAACATGTGCATCTCATATTCATTTTATACCATATACTGAATGTTTTATTATTTCGTATAGAAAATACCATTAAATACCTGTTAATATCCGAGCCCGGCTCCTATAAGGATACCGGTCTAAGAGACCGGAAGTCGGGTGGTGGTCGGTCAAACCGAGGAAGCCGGTCGCCAAGATTGTTCGTAGAAGCCGAGCCGAGTAGAGGTCAAAGTCAAAGGGGATGACGACCACGATTGGTCTCAGGGTCGGCACCCTGACCTCCCAGATACGAGGCCGACCTGACTCGGTGCCGAGATCGATGAAGGACCACGGACACCGGACGACCAGAGACTGACACAGCCCAGCTCGGTACCCTACCGGCCCGGCCCTCGTAGGTGTTAAGGACTCAGAAAATAATTAAATAAAGCCACTTGCCAGTCAATGATTGCCGATGGGACGCCCCAGATTAGCCTGCAGGTCTAGGGCACCTAGCCCGGCCAAGGAGCATGTCCGCATTAAATGCAACTCATATCAGCATTAAATGCGCTGAAGGTAATGATTGGAAAATCCCGAAATCACTCCCAATCAGTCAGAGAAACGCCGGCCCGCTTTTCCGAGTTACTGTACGACAAGACCCGTGAACAGCACCCGAACAGTGTCGCATTTAAGGACCCTATAAATAGAAACCTTGAGCATTTATTTTGGGTTGTTGAATCCCAACTGTCTGAACTCTCTCTACACTTTCTCTCTCTAGACTTGTAAGGAATTCGTATAAAAATCTGTAAGTATATCGCAAGTGCCGACCTCGTGATCCTTTAATAAAATCATAGTTAAACCGCATCTTCTTGTCTTTTCCTCGTTATTTTCTCATTATTTACCTTTTTAACCGTTGACCGGAAAGGGAAGCCGAAATATCCGCGCCTTTGAGTCCGTCAACAATACCCAAAAAAAATTTACCCACTTTAAACCATATACTAACACATAGTATTAATTTGACAATAAATATTTGCCTTTATTTATCCGCCTAATCTTGTGTGATGTTCAAACACAATGGAATTGAATTGAGAATAATTTATTTATTTATGCAACCTAAAAAAGACTAATCAAAATAACCAACCGCCTCTTATCTTCTCATCAATGGATTGAACAGAATTTGGCCATTTAAACGGGGCAAATTAATGCACCGTTGCACGTCTGTGCCCTGGCACACCTTGGTAGGTGTAAAAATTGAATTAAATAAAATAAAAGTGGAATCCGAAAAAATTTGTTATCCTGAAATACATGAGCTTATTTCATGGTAACAAAAATTGAATTAAAAAAGTATTTAATACATTAAAATATAAATACTCAATATTTATTTAGCGGCCATCTTGAAAAATAGTGGCTCAACTAAAGTGATAATATTTAAAATATCATGATAATTTTTAATTAATTACTTAATGACAAAGTTCAAGTATTTTAAGTCTTACTAATTAAAATGTTACTCAGCTTGATCATGTTAAGAAACATATTCAGCTTGTACAAAATCAACATATTCATCGTGATACGAAACATGCTCATCTTATCTTATAATTTAAGAAACATATTTCATGCAAAATCAACCTATTCAGATTGTACAAAATGAAACATATTCATCGTGTTAATAAACATGTTCATCTGAGAAAATAACATGTCCGTCGTATAATTTAACATATTCAGCAGGTAATAAAACATATTCATCTTATAACATAACATGTGCATCTTAAAAGTTGTCATGTTCAGTTTACAAAGAAACATATTCATCAAGTCAAGAAACATATATATATATATATATATATATATATATATATACGTACAAAATCAACAAGTTAAGAAGCATATTCATTTCGTCTTAATGT